CGAGGAACGAGGCGGAGAAGTTTAACTGGAATGTCTCTGTATCACTTTCTGTGATCATAATCAGCTGTTTTAGACTAACCCTGCGACATCACCGGCGCCCGCACCACAACACACACACCACACCACACACACATACACACACACACACACACAGTGAATGGCCACAGGATGGACTCCATTGTGGCATTCATTGGCAGCATTGGCCATAATGGGTGTTTGAGAGTGTCTAGGCTGTTGAACAATGGCCGCTGAGTTGTTTCCTGTTCTGGGGTGTGCTGGAGCAGAGCGCTGAGACAGAGGAGTGTATTGTGTGAGTCCTCTTCTCCCAAACACACACTTGTGCGGGTCGCTGAGCTTTCATTTAGCTCGATATACTAATCATAATCCCAGTGCCATTACAAGACTCTTATTACGCCCCACAAACATACCCCCCCCATGAGTCATGTCAAGGGATGACTTTAACTTTTACTCAAAGAACTGTCCTTAAAGCTTCCCAATCTATGAAGCTTTAGTTTGTATGTATTATCACTTTCTCTGCTGCTTGTATCGATTTATATGTTTCTATGTAGCCCCACCCTAAACATACCCTGCTTTATGGGTCTGTTTACTCTTAAATGGGACCATCAGTTTACTAAGGATGACATCCATGCGGCTGTTATGGAAGAAGGGACTGAAACTAGGGAGACTGAGGACAAAAACTCATCAGGAAAACTGTTTACTTAGCTCATAAATCCAAAACTGGGGGGAGGGAGGGTCTGACTCATTTTCTCCATAAGACTCACATACTATCAGACTTGATTTTGGATGCCTCCCCCCTGCTGTCCTAGACAGAACGCTAGTTTTTTTAAGAAACTTCGACATCTGGCCCTTCACTCTCACAGGACCTGAAAGCTCGCTTATACTATACTGACAGTGGCTCAACAGGTTTGCAGATAGTAACGTCTATTCTGAATATGATTGTCAGTTATTTTACAGCGTTCAGTGTTTGTTTGTCTGTTAGCTGACGATATAAATGAGAATGAGGTTGAGTAGATCCTTTTGTAGGAATAAATGTCTTCATACAACTTTTACTTTCTTATCTGGTGGAAGTTTTATGAATGAAGTCTCTCAGTGATTTCTGTAGATTTTGGACCGAAGCCACCAAAGAAAACACTCTGGTGTTCGGAGGAGAGACACATGGATCACATTAGTATCAAAGTAAAGGCTGGAATTTAAAGCTAAATCAATATTTTCTCTGGACTTTGTACAACAGTGAATGCTTGGGGACGTTATTAGAACCGCTCTGTGGCCGGAGGACGTGGGTTTGATTCCTGTTGAAGTGCGGTGTATAGTGCAAGTGTTTGAAGAAGCTTTATTGACTTTATATTCCTGTGGTTACAGAGAGGTTTGTAGCTCTCGAGGTTGTCTGCACCTGTTAGAGGAAATACTTTAATACTGTTTATACTGTTTATAACACTGTAAAAACAAAAAGTACATTTCAAGGCAACTCTTCATTTAAATTTTGGAGTTTTGAGTCAAATTTAAGTTTTGAAGTAAACTAATAATTAATGATAATTTACTTTTCTTCTTTAGAAATCTGAATAAGAAACAAAAGAAATCTTTAAATTAAAGTGAAAAACTGTTAATAATTTAACATTTTCAATTTTCAAGCCGCCAAATTATGAAAACTTGGTTCACTGTAAAATACAGACGTTTTTTAAAGTAAATTATCTCAATAAAAGATTAGAGGTCAGCAAAACTTTTTTAATTTGTTTCAAAACTTTTTGACTTAAAACTTGGTGTATTTATATTTATAGTGTATTTATAACAAATTATGTTGAATTCAAATATTTTAAATACACGACTAAATACACTTACATCAGCTGAACCCCCCCAAACCAAAAGTACTGGCACCGGTTTGGTCTAGTTCAAACTAAACTAAAACTTTAAGCGTGTGCGTCCGTACACGGACAACTGGTGGCTGACTGCAATAGAGCCTCCATGTTAGCAGATGGGACAAAATAAAAGATTACGTGTTGTTTTTTTAGGTAATTAATTTACGTACCTATGTAATTTTAGGCCGTTCTTATCTTGCTGATGTTTGTTCGAGTTTTTATCGTCAGTTTGGTTTTAATTAGTTATTTGAAAATATAAAAAGGGGGTTTCACATCATGATTGACAGCTGAGTCCTGCTCGTCACGGTATATGGGCGGGACCTCGATATCGTGACGCCAACCCCGATCAGCACTGCACAGACTCTAGCACAGAATGGATGGCTGCAGTAGTATTTATCAGAGCGACATCATCCCCATGGAAGGATACGGGGGTCAGAGGAGGCTCAGCAGTGCTGGTTGTTATTTATTTTGAATCCGAGGCAGCGATCAGCCAGCAGAATAGAGTCACACTCAGTCATTATTTTGGACATTCCCAGTAAGAGCACTGTGCAGATGTCTCTGCCACAGCAGCAGCCCCAGCCCCAGCCCAGCGCTAACTACTGACCCCGTTAAACCACACAGTCAGACCAGTCTGGACCCACCCAAACCAGGAGCCAGAGCCAAACCCCAGACTCTGGACAGACCAGAGCGGAGCAGGGCAGAGCCAGGACGTGCCAGGCCAATAAAAAGCAGCACATTCCTGTTCGCCAAACTCAGCCTCAAGACTCTTTTTTCCTGAACTCCGACGGCAGCAAACACAGGTGCTCCTCTCACCAGATCCCTCCGACAAACGGTTTCACAGCAGAACAATACAGAGAGCTCTGCATCACAGTTTACTTTAACTAGTAATCAACTATTTAAATTATAATTATGGATGTTTCTTTTTTTATAGCTAAACTTTGAAAATGAAAGCAAGGACTGTGGACCGATCAAAATGACAATCAGGTTGAGAAACTGTTACTGTTATTGGTAATGGTTAGTTCTTTTATTACTATTACTCAGGTTTCTTTCATAGAGACTCATCTGTATTGTTAGTTTGGATTTATTTGGATTTGGATGATTAATTAATAATTGGGCTCGGGCCCAAAACTGCTTCGGTGTTGCGGTCTTGATTCGGGCTAGCACATAATGAGATTTTAGCTCAAAATATAGGTTGTAAAATGTCTTTTTTATTCTGGATTTAACATTTCGGGAAGTAAAGTAAAGTATTTATCTGTAACAGCCAGTTCCTGGTCTAGTGGAGGATCCTGATCCTGTTTGTCTCTCCTCCTCAGTCACTCCAGGAAAGGTCTGTGTTGCGGTAAAGTGTTTTGGGGTTTTTCTAGGTCCACTTCAGCTGTGGAAAGCCCAGAAACCATTTTATGCAAATTAGAGCTGCAGTGACCTCGAAGGCCGAGCCGCATCGGACCGGCTCAGTCCACTCCCCTCCTGGATCCTCTCTGGGTCTCTTTCAAAGTCGCGTGTTGCTCAACGGGAACGTCCTGAAGGCTCTCTGTGTAATTTAGGCACCATGTTCAACCCCACTGAGCTCCAGTCTAATGACAGAGTCCGGGTTCAGGGCTGGGCTGCATGATAATGCTGCCTGTGTGTGAGAGATAGTAGAGAGAGTTTAACAGCCTTCAGTGTGATAACGTGCTGTGTGGTCTTTTACCACTCATACGCTGTACTCCAGTTGTAAACGTGTGTGTGTGTGTCTGTGTGTGTGTGTGGTTCTGTCTAGGAGTTTGGATCAGCCCCCCTCCCCCACCGCCCTCCGAGGTCACGGAGGCTGCAGCCGCAGGGAGATTGTTGTGGAGCTGGTTGGAGGTTTTGTGGTTTCTGGGTGGGACGACGACTAAATGTTTCCATCACACTGACAGCAGTACACAGATCTTATACTCACTGTAAGTAAAAGTACACAGGTCTTGTACTCACTGTGCACAAGTGTTTTAAGCTTCATGCAGTAAAAGTACACATAGTGCACTACAACTTCTCTGACTGATATCTGACTGTATGTGACATAATCAGATTGTTAATCAATGTTAATCAATGATCACTGTTTGAACCATTTTATATACAATTAGCTAGTGTAGTCCACTGGTTCCCAACATATGGGTTGGGGCCCCTCCAGAGGGTCACCAGATACAATCTGAGGGGTCGAGAGATGATTGATGGAAGAGGGTAAAAAGTTTTAGCCTTCTCTACGTTCTCTAACGCGCGCAGTTTAGTGCAGATTGAGAAACATTTTGCAACAGTAAGCAGAAAGTGTGTGAAGCTCAATGTCAGTCCTGTGCAGACCTTCAAAAGTCCACAACACACACACACACACACACACACACACACAGCCTCCTCCCTCCATAAAAGAAAGAGAGTTTGAGACAGAAACACCGCAAAACTCAGGAATGTGGAGTTTACATGGGCAGCTTTATTTGGCCTCAAGAAAATGTTCCCTCATTGAGCTCAGAAAGCCACATCCCACACACACACACACACACACACACACACACACAGATATAGACACACGCCCATACACATCCACACCCACCCACATAAAGAATATAGCTGTAAAAACACCCACAAAGTACAAAGTAAAAGGCCCAAATAAAGTTCCATCTGTTATTAACATTTAATATTCCAGAATATAATTAAGGAAGATGAACCTTGTACACGATGAGGAGTTCAGGAAACCTTGATGACTTACACAGCGGAATTTATTGAGGCTCAGCCCGAGGAGAACAACATCAGCCAATTCATGTGTAACACAGAGCAGTTGCCAATCCGATTCTTTCACACAATGCATGCAACATTTCAGACCATTCCCGGACTCAAGTCTCCTGGCTCTTTAACCTGAAGCTCTGGTGGTCTTCTACCTGCCCTGCTGACACGTCTGTCACAACTCATTCTCTAGGTGGCGAGAATCGATTTCCCCTGGACCCACCTGAATGCAGAGATGCCTAGGTCATCTGGTTCTCTGGATCAGAGCTGTGAGGACCTCACTTCTCTTTAGCATGGTCTTTACCTTCAGTCATCCTGCAGCCAATTTGTTCTCTGAAAAAAGCATAAAAGTATGATGTTGTCTATCTGTAGGGGTTATTCTGTCATCCATGGATGGACTCAATAGAAACACTCCACATACACCAGCACACAAAGGCTTGAATGGTCTTCACATTGAGTGTCCTCTCACACGAATCACCCAACGCCAATGTTGCAATGGCAATTGTTTAAATAAAGCATGTTAAGTATGATCTTGTCTTTCTGTATTCAACATCCATTTCAGTGACACATTCATGAGTTCAGGGGCAACGATGAGTCTTATCATGTCCTTGGATGCTCAGTGAAGTTTTAACCTCCCGCTGTTTACTTGGACATAAAGTGTAGTTAGAAACAGGGTTTATGCACAAAATAGTCTCTCGGACTGGTTGTGTATAGATTACAATGACCAGGTCCAAGAGTTACAGGTTTCTGGGAGTGTTGAGAGTCTGCAGGTATTCAGTCACCACAGAATTGATCAGTATCAGCTGCAGACGGGACTGACCAGTTATTTATAATGTGCTGTACACATTTTATTATTCATATAAAAATTTGATTAAAGCAGTTTTAATAAAGTAAGAACAAGTATGTGAGATTATTTTGTTCACATAAAAGAAAGGGCTTCAGTCTTGTTATTCATATAAAAGATGTCTTTTCCAATAATATGGTCCTAATAATAAAATAAGACGGTATTAAGGATGATAGTTCCAGTGATGTCAGTGGAACAGATGTGACAGTGACTCAGCCAATAATTCATCTGAGTGGGTTGCTGTCATTACAACATCAAGACAGACATGTGGATGGACTGAGGTTTAAACAGCTGACATTAGTTGAAGTGTTTAAATTTAGCTTGTTTTAGGTCAATTAGAGCTTACAGAGTGGGAGAGATGAAGGATGAGCTCATAGTTTGCTTGAATCTTATTTGAAAAAATGTACTTTATTGTAGTTTGGGTAATCCAACATTTGGTTATTTTACTTTCGTCATTTACATTGTTGTTACCAAATATCCTGTTTAGTGGTTTTAAATTAGACCTCTTCCAAAAATTAAACATAAATTATAATTTCGATGCTGATGACACTCAAATCTTTCTCCCTTTAACAGCTTGTGAAACTACAGTCCAGTATTGGAGTTATTTTTTCCAGAAACAGTGTCCATTTTACTCTGGCTATTCTATATTTTGGGACAAACCTGAAGACGAGCCGAAACTGACAAAGACTGGACTAACAAACATAGAGACAACATAGTTTCCACCAACTTGCACAGATTTTGTTTTTAGCTTTTGACAGTCAGGAAGAAGCATAAACCTGAAGACACATTCCTGAGTAAATACACCAGACAACGCATTAAACCACTGCTCAGTAAACACTAGAGCTCTGACGCTAAACAAACATGGACGCCAACCAGCAGCTTGCACTGTTTATATGCAGCGACATTAGTGCCGAAAAGACCAAAAAAGGAAGGAAAAAAGCTAGAGGTTTTGTAAGATCCTGGATGGAGACGTGTGTAGGACTGTAGAGCCTACAGAGGAAACTACAGGTGAGTGAACTAGCTAAAATGAAGCTAACTTCAGGAAAAGCTGCAGACATATCAAAGACATATGATTTTATATGTCAACACCAACTGACCCGGACTGGAACAGACTAAATCATACTCATCATCAGCTCTCCATGTTGGGTCAGATTACTTTAAAATGTAGTCAGTGACTGAATACTAATTACATGGGAATTTCTGTAACCAAGAAATGTAATCCATTGGATCATAAAAAAGGTAATCTAAATCTATTACTTCTGTATTACTTCAAAATCAAACACTGAAAATATTGCACTTTATACTAAAGAAATAGCACAAATATATATATTTTTTAACCTCTCAAAAGATTTTCAATTTAAATAAAATCAGCTTTGCATATTCAAATCAAATAACACATTTTTTTCCATGTTGAAAACAATAGTTTTTGTTAACATGGTTATGGCATGAAATAACACATTTATACCACTTTCAAAAAACTTCACAGGATTATCATAAAGTGGGCCTGTCTGTAAAAGGGAGACTTGTGGGTACCCATAGAGGTCAGAAGTCAAGGGATCCCTGTGAAAATGGCCATGCCAGTTTTTCCACCATCAAAATGTTGTTGGAGCGTTATTTAGCCCCTTTCACAACATGCTTGGTACCAATAGATGCGTTAGGTCATCAGGTTTTATATGATACCAGTATCTTTACTCCACAGTGCGAATGGACAAGGGAAAGATAATGGATCATTCCCTTATCAAGGTCTATAGAGGGTTAATAAACCATTGGTTATAATGATAACAAAGACATATTTTAAATATGTGATCAAATTAACTTATCCTTGACAATGTAACTCTGATCTAATTATAATCTTGGCTGATTACCTATTACGATTATGTAATCCCAATTACATGTAATCAGTTACTACCCAAAAGTCCTAATTTGTGTCCTTGCATTTAGCCAAAAGTTTGCTTTGCTGGTTTGAAACGTCCTACAGAAAGACCCTCTATCCCAGCAGTACAAACATCCTTCTGCAAACACCCCAAAGCCTGAAAAGTGTTATTGACCAAGCTGTAATAAGCACACTCAGCTCTATAAGGTGTGCAGAGACCAGCCACTTTAACATAAACACTTCCAGCCCACAGTCATGCATTTTATTCCCGGCAAATGAGCCAAGAACCCAGTATAGTCTGACCAACCATGAAGTGAAGCAACAGTTTCCTATAACACACAGTGAGTAAAGCACGGGGGAGTGTTGTGTTTGGCAGCTGTCAGGGCGGTTTATACGAACCAGGCCACGACACAGCTGATGTTGGTTAAATTAAAAACCCCAACACGATATGGATCCAAGCTGCAAAATATGACATCAGTGAACATTTCAGATGAGGCAGTGCTCATGAGCCTCCTTATTCTAAAGGTGATATTTATGCTCAAAAAAGGACTAGAAGACCAAACGAAGACCAAAATGAAGCCTTATACCACTATCTCCGAAGCCACCAGACTGTCATTTCAGCTTGCAGTTGAGTTGCTGGTGTACTGTTACCTTGATCAGCAGCAACTAATGTTAGTTTGGATCTGAACTACTGAGTTAAAACCCCAAAGTCACACAATAACCCATCAAGGTGTTGGTGGAAACAGGAAAGAACTGCACTGAAGGCTTTTCTCAATGGAAAAGGTGTTTTCAGCTACTGATGCTAGCAGCATCTACGCTAAACTCTTTAGCAGCCGCCATTGTTGTTTTTGAGTTTCTCGATAGTTGTTTTTGTTAAACTATGCTCGTAGCTCATGCTGTGATTGCCAGACTGATGCATAGCTTGAAGCTCTTTTGATTTCAAGGTAAAATGAGCTGTTTTTGTCAATGAAGTCTGGTCGTTTCTCATCAGAAAGGAGCTGTCTGAGGGCACGTAACTTGGCTGAAGTCGTCGTTAGAAACTGTTTGGTAAAGGTCAGGCACTTTCAAAAAATACTCAGCAGGTGATTGGATGAACCATCTGTCTATCACCGTCTAACACAGGCGAGCTTCAACCAATCAGATCAATAAACCATATAACGTTGTCAGACTCTAATTGAGCGAAAACACCTTTTCCATTGAGAAAAGCCTTCAGTGCAGTTCTTTGCTGTTTCAATGAAGAAATACTCTCCAGTTCTCACAGCACTGATGCTAGCAGCATCTACGCTAAACTCTTTCGCAGCCGCCATTGTTGTTTTTGAGTTTCTCGATTGTTGTTTTTGTTAAACTACGCTCGTAGCTCATGCTGTGATTGCCAGACTATTTTGTAACTATGGTCAATCTCAGGCCATTTAATTTAGTTTTTACATGATAAATCTTAAGTTTTTGCATCAAGACTGAGTTGTTAGCATCTTTTAGCAAATACATGACATCAATACTAATAGCATCCACATATAAAAGATGGACGTCGTGTCTCCACTTCCTCGCAATGTACAAAAATGTATACCGATACAGCTGCTGCCGTAAACTTTTCAGTGTTTGAGGTAGTTTTCATTGGCTTTACTTATAATGTATTGTACTGGTACGGACCCCACTTCAAACATCCAAACTAACCCTTTAAACCTGCAAAAACAGATTGTTTTGTCCACTTGTTTGCAGCAGAAACACATTATAAACATTAACCTTTGAAGCTGATATGTAACAGTCACAGAGCAACATTTGTTTGGGGTCGAGTTTGAGGGAGATCATATGTCAGTGTTGTGTTTACAGCTTGTTTTGGACCCCGAGTGGCCACAAATCAATTAACGCAGCTTTAAGGAAGTGAAGTCTGTGTTCATGATGTGAGCTTCAGATGATAAACTCCTTTGTGGCTGTGGTGTACTGATGTGTATTGAACTATGATTGGACCAGTTGTTGTTTCACAGCCACAAACCACCAATCAAGACCCTCCACCCACAGCCTCATTCTCCACGTAAACACAGCACCACATTATGGATAAAAGACAACGGATATAGCAAAGCTGAGGGAACACAGCTCCATCGTGTTCTTGCAACAGTGATCGACTGTTGATTGTGTGTTTTTTAGGGGCCCGACCTGTTTACATGTTCCTGTGTTTACACCAGAGCTAGAATGCATGTGTACATAAATAAACCACAGTAAACTGTCGCCACAGCCAAATCACCATCTGTGACAGTTGCAGACAAGATGGTGGAGGGTTGGGGTCAGGGCCCGGATCTGGAGGTTTGGACCGGAGCCCGTTGTGGTGTTTTCCATCAACACCACAGAGCAGAAAAGTGCAGGCATTTAAAGAATCAGTCTGGTGATATTACACATTATTGTTAACAAATCCCATAACAAGTATTGCCCGATGGATCTTCTTCCTCTGGGCCATAGAGCTCCAAACACTATTCAAGTCCATAAAACAGGAAGCAGAGTGCTGTTTGCTACCTCATATATACTGCTGTATAAACAAGCATCTAGGGAAAGACCGACTCAGGTATTGATTGACGTTAACAGCAGCCAATAGTGCAGAGTGTGCATCGCCGGGTTTGGCTCCTGGCGTCCTGGAGCTGAGTCAATTAGCTCAGCTGCCTGGCTGACCGATCTAACGGCAGTTAGCAGTTGGCTACTGAACAATCTGTTCATCGGGAAACTCGTTATTCCCTGTCAGTCTCAGTTTTCTCCAGAAATATGATCCAGTTCCACCAAAATCACTGAATACAGTTATAAAGCTGAGCTAACTAGCTAATGTAGCTATCAATGAATCCATAGATGTCTGTAACACATCGGCCCTCAGAAATACGTCATAAGAGAGAAAGCATTTCATTGGACGCAGCCCCCAACTACTTTTATTGTTTTTAAGGAAACTCTAAATTACCATTAATAATACCTAAAACAGTCACATTTTGACTTCAAGGGGACACTGTAGTTTATTTACACACTGTCCTGCTGGCCCAAATTGTAGATTCATCCGCTGCTGAAAATAGTCCCCAACCAACACACAATCTCCTTCTGTTGGTTTGATAAAAACTACAGCGAGCAGTAAAAATAACAGAACCATTTTTAAAATGAAACTATATATTTCTGAGGTGATTTTTAAAATATTTTATTCAATTAAAACTTTAAATGCAGCTTTTACCTGCAGTATTTGACACTACGGTATCACTACGTCTACTGCTGGGATGGAAGCTCTCACTCTTCAGTCAACTACAGCTTACTCTGAGACAACACTGCCCTCTGCTGGATTAGCAATATACAACATCTATATTCATTCTCCTTTATATGTTTTCCAAATGTTAGACTCAATTATAATTGCCCCTGTTGTGAACACCAACCTGGTTATTTTTGGGGGTTGCGACTCTAAAAGGTTATGAAGCTGCAGTAGGTAACTTTTATAAAAATATATTTTTGTAATATTTGTTTAAACTTTCATTATATCCTGACAGAAGAACATGAGACGACAGATATTCTGGGAAAGAATCAGGTTTCTCCGGCTCCTCCTTGTGCTCCTAATGACATTTGCAAGAACCCACCAGACCCGAAAGAAAACAACTAATCAGTGGCAAGAGTGATAGTTGATTGTTGAGTCTTATTCCAAGGTCGTCAAATACAGATGCTTTGGGACCCTGGGAATGATCAATTATCTTCAAGCTTACAACCCAAAGTGTGCATGTTTTATAAAAATGACCTACTGCAGCTTTAAGGGAAGGTTACAAAAGGTTTTGACTCTAAGCATTCACTTTCAGTGAGTAAGCGATCGGGAAAAACTTTAAATGTAATTATTCCATCCTGAAAAAATCTGTCAATTTAATCACACACTATCAACTACAGTGAGCCACGCAGAATGATAAGCGATTACAAAAGAGTTTCCCGCCAGACAGGTGTACTTTCCAGCATCGTTCAGAGTTACGTTCCTCAGAGTCAAAACCTCCATTTCTTTATCTGCTGTGTTCAAACCTGTTGCCTAGAAAAAAGAAATGTGACATGAATTAAAAATGAAATGTGACTTAAACACTTTTAAAAACAAATGTTTTGGCTCACCAAAAAAAAAATCAATGCAACAGTCTACAGTCTTTTTGAGTTATACTACATTGAGTTTAGGGAATTAGCTTTTTCTTCTACAATCAAATATTTAATTTCCACATACTTAATAATTGGTAGAATTATTTATTATATTATTATTATTATATTATTATATTGTATTATTTTACAATTAGGCTACACTTCAAAACCGGATAAGTTTTAAAAAATGTTGAAACTGATTAAATTAAAATTTGAAGTAAAACTAATTCAGTTTTGTAAGTTAAATAAACATTCTTGATCAAGTAGCTTTAGTCATTTTAAGTGACACTATCGTTTAATATTTGTACTGTGAAAACAAAATACTTTAAAAACTACTTAATCGGGCAAGTTACAAAACTAAGTTAGTGTCAGTTAAAATTATTAGTAAAAGCTGCTTCATCAAGAATCTTTTTTAACTTAAATTGAGTTTGTGTAATTCATTTTTTTTACTTAAAATAACTTATGACTGGTACACACAAACCTTGAGAATGTGGACGTACGGGAATCCGCCCGGCGCCTCGTTTCGGCTGTCGACGGTGATGTGTTTGAGCCACTGCATGTGATGCCACAAGTCACCCATCACACGGCACACAAATGTCACGTCACTGCCAAGCACTGCGGTTTGGTTCTCCGGCAGACTGGCCTGCAGGATCGGTCTGTGAGGAGGACGCTCTGGAACACAGAGTTTAAAACAATACAAAACATGTTTAATGTGGTTATCTCAGGTCAGCATACAATACCCACCAATCAATATCGTAACATACCATCGACTACAGTGAGCCACGCAGAACGATGAGTGAATCCAAAAGAGTTTGCCGCCAGACAGGTGTACTCTCCAGCATCGTTCAGAGTTACTTTCCTCAGAGTCAAAACCATTTCTTTATCTGCTGTGTTCAAACCTGCAGTCTGGAAGAGATGTGACATGAATTAAAAATAAAATGTGACAGAAATGCGTTTAGATGGATGTGTTCAGGTAAATGTGCTCTCAGCTACAAGCCCATTGGTTCCTAGTGAAGACATAAATCTTTAATGCAACATTATCATATGCAACTATTTTACTTTAAAATAACCACTTCAAATTCATTTTGATGTTGATGATGAGTTGTAACGGTGTAAATGATGCCTCACACGGCAGTAGTAATGCAAAATAGACCCAAATTCAAATCTAGTCCCAAATAGATGCAGGAATCTCAATTCCTAATTGTTAGAAAGTTAAAAGTAATATTCATACTTAAAATTAACAATTTCATAGTACTACCCATCTACGCTGAGCAAGAGTTTTGTGCAAAAGGTATTAAAGACCTGATCCAAATAAAGGCAGGTTGTTGAAAACAAATAAAAGCTCAGGCTATTATTAGTTAGCTGCACAACACTTTAGCACTGAAATGACAGCTTGTTAATCAATCACTCATATGACATGTTTTAAGCAAAAATGCCAAAATGTCTCAGTCTTTTGATTTTTAGATCGAAGTTAACTGAAAATCCTTTGGTTTTGAACTGTAGTGATCATTTTTAAGACCTAACAAAATCAATCTAGGAAAGTAAATAAGAAAATAAGTATTAGTTACACCTGTCACGGGTGTAAATCTAAACTATTTGTGGTATGCCTAGGCAGGGCAGTTGCTAGGAATTCTGGGCCCCCTGAAAGAATATCGGCGTGGACCCCTCTACCCCAGGATTTTTCATTGCCACTTTTTTACAACTGTGTATTATGATGTTTTTCTTCGTTTTTCTGTTTTTCAGTGTTCTTGACGGTGCCTGGTGTAATACACCCAATTTGTTTTCTTTTTTACAATTAACCACTCAACAATAAGTTTATTGTTCCATTATATATTGCTTTTTGTAAACATTAATTGTTATGTTTCATGGAAAAACTGATGAAGAACTAACTAAGTCTTGGAATACACAAAATCTAAATGGGCTTCTCAGTACCATTAGCTCCAAGGCGACAGTCGTTTCACTTTGCCATGTATGTGAGGCAAGCCTTTGGAGTATGTCACCCTTGTCAGGCAAAAAATATTTTGAAACAAGTCAGTGTAAAAAGAAATTCTTAAATTGTCTTTTACTTTGTTATCTGTGACACTTATGGTCGTCTATTTATTTTTTATTGCTGTAAAAACACCAACAAAAAATCTTTTGAACAAAAATCTTTTTTTATTTTATTATTTCAAATTGTCACCACGATAACAACATTTTACAAGACCACATTGCATCACATCACTGATAACGAATTGACCTTCGCCTATGCTCATAATATACTGAGTAGAACTTGAATGGGTTAATAATTAAAATTCAATGCATGCTAGTACTGAGTGTGTGCTTTATCGGAGCACTGTCCTGAAAGAAAATGTGAAACTAGATCCAGCTGTAGATAGTCTCCCAGTAACGTGTCAGTCGCTACCTAAAAGGAATCGTTGAATCTGATAATGAACTGGTACTTGTCCAGAATGTAGCCGCCTCTCACTCCGGATGACAGTACCGTAGGCTCCCAGCCCTGGCGGCCCCGTTCTACGGTAAACGGTTACCAAGAACATTAAAATGACATGAACACTCCCTCTGAGTATTTTGCTTCGCACTCACGTTAATTCCCATGAGAAGAACGACCTTGGACAAACCATTTTTAAGAAGGGCAAGGGGTATTTGACATATTAAAATTAAAATATTTGCATGACTTTTGGCTTGTTTGTAGCTCGGATTCACTTAGTATGAATTATAATATTTTAAGTCATGCAATAATTATAGTCATAGAGGACTGGGGCTGTGTGGGGCCCTAAATGGCAGTGGGCCTTAAGGTTGTCTCACTTCCCCCTTTAATGACGGGCCTGTGCTGGCTATGTTTATGTTTCTTAAGACGGAGACTTGTAACACACAAACATTGAGCGACGCGGACGTACGGGTCCATCTGTCCATTTTGCTGCCGTGACGGGTGATGTGTTTGCGCCACTGGATGTGGAGTCCGCGAGTCGCCGATAACGTGGCACGACAAATGTCACATCACGTGCCAAGCCTGCGGTTGGTTCTCCGGCAGACGGCCTGCAGGATCGGTCTGTGAGGACAATGCTCTGGAACAGAGGAACAATGTAAGAGGTCACCAGCAACACAATAATTTACCATCAGAAGACCACAGTAAACCAGTTAAATTAAAAAAAAAAAAAAAAAAACTTCATTTACCAATGACTCCAGCAGGTAGGTGTGTTCGAGACTCCCATATTCATTCTCCACCACACAGGTGTAGTTCCCTTTATCCGATGGGACCACTGACTCCATTATTAGAGTCCACATGTGGTCTCTTATCTGAAAGATTGAGGGTAAAAAATACAATCAAAACAACTGGTTGGACCTGTGTCTGTTCTCTTTGTGCAGGAACGGTGAGAAATGCACCTTGAACCCTCCGATTCTTTGGTCCTTCCTGAACTCTTTCCCGTTCTTGTACCAGCGCAGGGAGGGAACCGGGTTTCCGGTCGCCTGGCATCGAAACTTCACAGTCCTGCTGGCTGGAACGGCGTGAAGCTGCTTCTTCATCTTCTCTGGCATCACCCACTGCGGCGCCAACGCTAACGAGGTAAACACAGTGATTACAATGATAAAATGGGAAATACAAATAAAAAGACATTTTCTCCATAAAAATAAAATAGTGGAGCTGCAATCAATCAAAATTCTTAACGATAATAACTTTTTATTAATTTATTTTTTTGGTCTTTTATTGCCTCTAATTGACAGTGACAGCTGAAGACAGACAGGAAAGGGGGTAGAGATTATGCACATTCAACGTTTTGACTGCGTACACCTCCGGGTATTTACAGTGCACTGCATTTTGCCAAAATTCTAATTGAGACACACTATTAATAATGTTTAGCTTTAGTTAGTAGTAGAGATCATCTATATCCGTAAAGTGTGTTGTTTTATGATCTTTTGCCCCAAACTAAAGCCATAAACATTTTTTACAATTCGTCTTTTAAAAAGACCTACCCCTGCTCAAAAAAGTCTGATTACCTTCCCGCTTTGTTTGTGAACAGAAAGAGAGGCTGAATCTGAGAGAAAAACAGGCTCAGTAACAACTGTATCAGATGGAGCCAAAAAGACAAACACACACACACAGAAAGTAAATACATGCATGTGCACACAAACACAGTTTATATTATTCTCATTTACACTTCCCCAAAGATGGTTTTGTGGAAGTATGATATATAATAATATCAATCAATTAACTAACTAATGGTTTTAGCACAAGTCTGACTAACTAGTTTGACCCTGGGAGGAAACATCAAGATCCTGATTCTGTTCACGTAGACTTAAGATAAGTTTGTGATTATGCTTTGGTGCAGGTCTGAAGTTTAAATTAAGCAGCATTATTGATCAGAAAAAACACATTCAAACAAAGGAAAGACTTGTGACATCCACACTCAGATGTCTGTGAAGTATCCTACCTGTTTCTGTGTCCTCTGTGGCCGCTCTGGACTGCGCCTGAGGAAACTGGACCAGCAGAACCAGCAGGATGCAGGACAGCAGCAGCTTGAAGCAGCAGGGGGACGACATTGTGTCCTGAAACCTCAACTTAGTGAGACTACCAGACTGCAAACTCACTACAGAGACAGACAATAAAATGAATTATGCCCACAATCATTACTGCTTTTTTCCTTCTTTTAAGGCAGCCAACGGCTTCCATTAATTCAAATATAATTAGAAGGGTGTAAACCTTGTGGAGAGTTTATTTTAATGAACATGGAGAATAAATAAGAAGTCAGGAGGGAAAGTAAAGAGAGGAGACTGACCTGATAGGATGTACAGACAAGAATAAATGAGTAGGAGATTTAGAGGATGGGTTACAGGTTTGGAGGCGTTTATGCTGCAGGTTCCCACGACTGACTGAAAAAGTGAGTCATGCTTACTCCACATATTTCATCCCTCGCTTACTGTAAACTGTAACAGTCTCATTAACCAAACTGCTGCTGGGAAATGACAGAGTAGTCAAACAAAGATGTAGCTGTTGTTGAACTAATAACAGACAAATATTGTATTTAACTCACCTGAAGGGTATTATTACATATTAATGAAAGTATTCTGATAGCAACAGTACACTGTAAAAATTCAGTTTTATTTAAAAAGTAAAAGTATGATCAGCAAAATATAGTTTAAGTAACATTACTGAATTATTATAACTGATATATTAACATGTGAGCAGCTTTTTGCTGTTGTAGTTGGTCAAGGTGGAAATATCTATCTAACTATGTTATATACAATTAGTAGTTTAATCTATAAAATTAAACATGATATTTTATATTAAAGCTTTTGTGTGAAGAAGCTTAAACTAAAAAAGTAATTACATTTATATATTAAATAATCCTTCCTGACTGACTTCATCAGCAAAATGTTACATATGCACAATACATTTATTCATTTTTAGTACATTTTAACAGTTTAAATAATTCTAAAGTACTTAACTACTGTCACCCAAACATTTTCAATGCAGGAAATTTACCTGTAAGGGAGTATATTTATAGTATAGTATCACTTACAAAGAAAACGCTTGCAAAAGTAAAGCAGCTTAAAAGTTGTAGAAAAAATATATTTTAAGGTTAAATGGAGCCGTACCTGTATCAGCTGGTCCACAGTATGCTGTTATATCCAAGGACGTGAAGTCATAGTTGGTCAATCAAAGGTTAAATTCCCTAAAAATCATTAGCTGCTGTTCTGTTTCTGGGAAATAAAAATCACAGACTGAATGCAACTTTTTTAACTGTGCGCCTCATTAAAATATGGAGAGCCAAATGGGTCACAATTCGTCTCAATTTCCCCTGGCATTTGTAATTGCCATCAGACATTTATAGATGTGTTCTAATTACATTTTTTCTCCATAATTATAAACAGAATTACTTCATTGCCATTTTACATGCAGTAAGAAAAAATATATACTAGGAAACTACTTCTGTAGAGTAAGTAATCTTAAAATGATATTGTTAAAATCTTAATTACTATCTGCAAGTATTTTGGAATGAAAACATGCATTTTTAGTTAATATCCTGAATCATAAATACATGTCCTATACCTAAACCTGCTTGAATATTGGTTGAAATTAATTAATTTCCAATTATTTTAATTGTGAATAAACCTCCTGACTTGACTGATATACACGGACATTAGAAGGCTTCCCCTCACCAACATGGCTCCAATTCCAATATGGTATGTATGTATATTTATTCATAAAGTTAACCACTGTGTAGGGTTATTAAACATGAATATCAAAACTCAAACTGACCCCTGGTTAGGTATAACCAGAGATTGTTAACCCTAACCTTCTCTCTACCTGGCTCTCAGTAAAACATAGTCAGTCATATTGTTAATGATGTCTAAAACTGAAGGGCTTTGGTTTTGTTTTAAACTTTTCCTGAACTGCAACTGCAAACAACTTTATACCGGATAATGCTCTCCCTTCGGTCATCAGCAGTACACTCACCAAGATAAAATAAATAAAGTTAAATTAAATGAATGGTGGGGATCAGAGTGCTCTTTACAAACTTCTGGTTTACAATATT